ATTAATCCTCTCTTTTGCCAACCGACCTCCACCACCTCCACTGCTTGCATTTTACATCCAATCTTTAGAAATAATTCAAGCCGCCACATTATTCATTATTTGCCATCTTTGTTGCAACCCATCTTTAGAATGACTCAAGAGGCCGACCAATTAACAAATACGCATAACTTTAGTGGCATCCAAAATTTTGAGATTTATCACCACCTGTTGCAATCTGAAGCCAATTTGATTTCCTTAAAATTCCATTAATAATTACAATTGTGGTTAATTTACCATGTTTGAGCTAATTGTTTAGCTTCTTTTGTAACGGATTGCAATATGAAGGGTTAATATGAAAGGTTTGCAATAGACAATCTCAAATGCATGAAAAAAAAAAAAAAAAAAAAAAAAAAAAAAAAAAAAAAAAAAAATCATTCCTTTTGGATGATAAGCAAAAAGATCCAAACAATTTTTATTAATTATTTTAAATTTTTTTTGACACATGTTATATTTTTATTGGTTCAGGTCAGCATCAGAAAGACATTCTTACTTATATGGCCTAAATTGGGTCCTTCCTTGGCAAGACTTAGGTGCTATTTGATAAAACTGACAATTAAGCACTGAAAATTTCAAGTACTGAATTTTAAGTACTGAAACTTTAAATACTGAATGTATTAATTTGAAAACCTGTTTGATAACGTTTTAATTTTAAGAGCTGAATTCATTAAGATTGTTTATTATATACAAAAGCTAAATTCTAAAAGTTGTACATATTACATTTTTGCCCTCAATATCTAATATTCACAACAGTTTTATATTTATAATAAAAAATATTAATAAAACAACCACATTCATTCAATGAAATAAATAAATATGAAAATTTACAATACATGAATTTTGTATTACATAATATTTATGTATGGTATCGAAAAGGGTTTTACAAAGATTAAAGAAAATAAAATTTAAAATATATGAGTTTTGGATTGAATAATATTTAGGTAGGGTATTGAAAAGAGTGTTACAAAGATTAAAGAAAATACTTCAAAAAGAATTCTTATTTAAGACTAAAATTCTATTATATAAATAATTGATGGAAATTTTAAATGTATAGGTTTTGGATTACATAATATTTATGTAAGTTTGGTGTTACAGAAATTAAAGAAAGTAAAATCTAAAATATATATGTTTTGGGTTACATAATATTTATATATGGTATTGAAAAATGTGTTACAAAAATTAAGGAAAGTGAAAAAGAATTCTTATCTAGGAACATAATTATATTATATAAATAATTAATGAAAATTTAAAATATATATGTTTTGGATATAAAAAAGAATGTTACAAAAGATTAAAGGAAGTAAAATTTAAAATATATGGGTTTTGGATTGCATGGTAGGGTATTGAAAATACTGTTAAGAAAGTACGTGAATATAATTCTATTATATAAATAATTACATAATATTTATGTAGGGTATAAAAATAATGTTAAAAATATTAAAGAAAGTACGCGAAATTGAATAGAATTATGCTATATAAATAATTATTTTAGTGAATTAATATGAATGGTAACCAAAAGGCTATGTTCGTGTTTAAAATATATTAGGTAGAATTATGTTTTTTATTGTTTTGGAATTTGTTTGATGTAATTCATTTTCATTAGTAACAACAAGCAACCAAATATATATGAATCAATTTAAATGTAACCAAAAAGGCTATCTGTGGTGTTTAAAATAAAGAATCCCTAAAAGAGAGAACATGATTACATGAGGGAAGATTAGTCATTAAAAAAACCCAACCACTTACCGTCTTCGGCGGTAAGTAACCTTCTCCACACTTAAAATTTTGGCTTCATTTAAACGATGCTTATCATGTTAAGCGGTGTCCTAAAATTTTATCAAACAAACTTATTTTTTTAAATTACTTACCGTGATCTGCATTCAGTGCTAAATTATGAAATCAAACAGGCCCTTAGCTAATTTTCCATCTTCCATTCCAAAGTCCCTTTTACATTTCCATTGGCCTTGAAGAGTCCTACCATTACTCTTTATTCATTTCCTTGGTTAGGACGTGGCTTGTTCGGATCGAGGTTCAAAGCCCATCGATCCATAGTTCAAGGCCCATCGATCTATAGTTCATGACTCGGTTGGATCGACGTTCAAGGCTTATCGATTGACAATTCATGACTCAGTTGAATTAAGGTTCAAGGCCCATCGATCGACAATTCGTCGCGCGATTAGATCGAGGTTCAAGACCCATCACTGACTGTAAGTCCCACATTGGGTTCATCGACTGACTGTTTGTCTTTTATTTATGGGTAAAATACAGTTACACCTCCTGAGATTTGGCAAAAGGACACTCAAATGAAACTTATATATTTTTTGGACAAAAACACTCCCTGAAGATTCAAAAATTGACAAAACACCCGTTTATATGAAAAATTGACCAAATTACCCTTTGATTGTTTAGGAGACTTTTTTAACTTTACAATTTAATAAATTGGACCAATCTACCCTCATGAACAATTTATGCATAAAAAAAAAAAAAGTAAGAAAAAAAAATTGTTATTTACTTTATAAATGTCCCAATTTCTTAAAAATTTAGACGATTTTTTGATCTAATACACATATTTCAAATAAATTATATTTTGTTATTACTTATTTTTTTTATTTTTTATTTTTAAATTAAGATGCTTAATTCTTTCATCTAAAAAAATTAAACCAATCTCTATGGTACCAGTATAACTTTATGCATCTTAAATTATATATCAAATATTATGCATTTTCTAACATAAAAGGGAAAAAAATAATAAAACAAAGGGAAAAAAATAAAACAAGGGGAAAAAAAATAATAAATCAAAGGGGGAAAAAAAGAGAGCATAAAGTTAAGATGCATAAAGTTATACTAGTATCTATTTTCTTTTATGTTGGGAAATACATAATATTTGATATATAATTTAAGATGCATAATGTTATACTAGTTTTTTATTTTTAAGGAAAAGTGGTTTAATTTTTTTAGATGAAAGAATTAAGCATCTTAATTTAAAAATAAAAAAGAAAAAGAAAAAAAGTAATTACTAAATATAATTTATTTGAAATATATGTATTGAATCAAAAAATCATTTTAGACGTTTATATTTTTAAGAAGTTTGGACATTTATAAAGTAAAAAAAAAAAGTGAACAATATAAAGTTTTTTTTTTACTTTTTTATATGCATAAATTATTCATAAGGATATATTGGTCCAATTTATTAAATTGTAAAGTTACAAAAGTTATTTAAACGGTTAAACGGTAATTTGGTCAAATTTTTATACAAAGAGGGTATTTTTGTTCAATTTTAAACCTTTCAATGTGTTTTTGCCCAAAAAAAAAAAAAAAAAAAAAAAAAAAAAAAAAAAAAGAGTAAATTTTCATTGAATATTTAACTTTACCCTTTATTTATTCTTTTGAAGTCGACGTTTTGACGAGTCAGGTTGATTTGAATGGTTGATGACGTGGCTTAGTCATGTCCACACATCTAACACTTTGCTGCTAAATGCGAGCAACTCGAGGTCAAAGTAATTTGTCCTGAAAATTCTTATCGTAATGACACACGATTGAATGATTGTTTACCCAACTCGTGCTAGTCTATCAGTCATGCAATTCTAATGCATCTTTGCTTGACCTGCAAGTAACCTCATCCCCTTTACCCATGTGGTATGACCTGCATGAAAATGTCAAATGTGCCCTTCACTATATTCAGCTAAAATTACCAAAGTGTCCTTTCACTCAGAAATTAACCTCTCACACTAATTGCTCCATTTAAGATCATTTCCTAAGATTGTGTTATTCACAAAATGAAAAATGAAATTTAAAAGGTAACTAATTAAAATAGTATTGATTTTATTTTTTATTTTTTATCACATGGTCAAAAATATTTAAAAGATTGAAACAGTTTTAAATTTTAATTGCCATTGAACAAGTAATTCCACTGACCATGCGTTTTCTTCTTTCTTTAGAAATAGAAAAAAATGATTCATGTGCATTGTTGAGACTTGAAGGCAACTTAATAATGTCCCAATAACTTGCGGTTGTCACCTTTAGCTAGCATTGAGCTATATATATATATATATATATATATATATATATATTCCTCTTATGGAGAAGTATTCAGAAGTGTAGTAATGAGTATTCTTGCCCAAACTATAAGTTTTTTAAAACTTGGTACTCAAATGGGGTCTATTATTTCAAATATTTAAACATAGTTTTCAAAATTTTAAAAACTCACTAGTCAATTATTATTATTTATATTTAGTTGGACTATTAGTCGATTATTGCAATTTTCTTTTTGTGAAAATTGCACTTACTTCCCCTTTACTTAGGATTATTACACTTACTCTCCTGTACTTTAGATAATTACAATTACCTCCCTTCTATGTATTTTTTTCTAAATGGGGTTGTTGTTTCATTAGAAATAAATTGTAGAGTTACAAGACAGTAAGATAGCACATTCCAATTCTCTCCCTTCTAGACATGTGTGTAAGGAAACGAACTTTGGCACTAATTCATGACGGTCAGAGATGTTCAATGCTGATATGAAAAGGGATTTTTTTTTTTTTTTTTTTTTTTTGAGCTAAATCGGCCCTTTAAATTGTTGTGAAGGCACTTTTATCCAATATTTTTAATGTGAAAAGACATTTATAGCCCTGACTCACGACATTTTCATTAATTTAATTTTCTTTAGTTAACGTATGGTTGTCTTTTTGCATAAATATTGAACAAAAGTGTTTTTGTAGTAATGTGAAGAGCATAATTGTCATATGAAGCTAAAAAATAAACCTGCCGGCCATCCTTACCTATTAGTGAAACTGACGACCAGAGTCAGTTTGTTACAAATAGAAGGGAGGCAATTGTGATTATTCGAAACACGGGAGAGTAAGTGTAATACATCCTATATAGAGGGAGGTAAGTGTAATTTACTCTTTCCCTTGGAGCATAAACCGCGTTTTATTCAACTCATTTCCCAAGAAAGCGACTACTCTGATTCCTTACACAGTATAAAATACAAGAGTCAGCGAAGAAGAAACACTATCTCTCTCTACAACAGAAACGTACAGAACCAGTGATTTTAGCGAGAGAAACAAATTATAACGTATATAGAGAGAGATTTAGAAAGTGATTTTAGTGAGAGAAACAAATTATATATATATAGAGAGAGAGAGATTTAGAAAGAGATTTAGAGAGAGAAATTGAGCAATGGAGTTGCAGAGAGGTTTGGCTCTGCTGCTCCAACAATTCAGAGCTCTGCTCACGAAGAACCTCCTCCTCTCATGGAGAAACAAGCGCTCCACATTTCTCCAGCTCTTCTCGTCGCTATTCTTCATCTTCCTCATCTTCCTCATCCAGAAATCCACCGAGTCTCGATACGCGTCGTCCAGCTCCTTCGGGAACGTCGTCGACCCCAAACCTCTTGTCTCTCCTCCGATTCCGCCGTGCGAGGACAAGCACTACGTCAAGCTTCCCTGTTTCGACTTCGTTTGGAGCGGCAATGCGAGTTCCAGGATTGGGACCATCGTCAGTCGAATTCTGGCTAATAATCCTGGAAGACCTATTCCTTCCCACAAGGTAATAATCATTGATTCTGATTTTTCAATTTCAGTGTTTAGTTTTTTTGGAATTTTCTTAGATATTTGAGTTTGGTCGAGTTTGATATTGGAGGTTTCTATTGGTTACAGGGTTTCTGTTTATAGTTGTTTATAATTTGAATTAGATATAAACTGTGGAATTGGTAGTTAGAAATGGTGGAATTGGATTGAGTTAAGTGATTACTGTTTTTATTTATTTATTTTTTTGAAATTGGAGGTGATTGGTTAGAGTTTGATGCAAAAGTTAGTAAAAATTTGTCTTTGTTTTCTGTATGTGTTGCAAATCAAGGTTTAAGAGAATAATTGTTTAAGCCAAAATTGTAAAATATTAATTTAACAAACTCTTACCAATCTCCGGTGTGTAATCGACATGTTGCTAGCTTCAACTCGGTCGAATAAGAATCCGCAATTCCCTCTGCTGTTTACAAATTGTTCATCCAAGATCAATTAGGACATCAATAGATAGCACTATACAAAAATTGAGGAGTTTAAAGAACAACCATCAAATTAGAAAATTGTTCAATAATTATTCAAGTACAGATCTCTCTTTTTTCTTTTTCCAGTCAATCATGGATTTAGCCAATGATATGAACCACGTTGCCAACCTTAAGTAGTTGGGATTAAGGCTATTGGTGATAATGATTTTTCCAGTGGCTTGTCCCATATTTTTTACCAGGCTCTGTATTACTACTTGCATTTTGTTTTGCTTCACTATTGTCTTTTTTTTTTTAATACAGTGATGGGAATTCTTCAAATCTACTGACAAGGAGTGTTCCCTTAGTAAAACTGTCATCTAATGAAGCTATTATGTCTGTTAACCCATCAATTGGTTCAGCTAACTTATCCTTGTGGCCTTGTAACATCTTGGCGTATTCACGTGACCCAATAACAATTTTGGGGGCGCAGGAGCAGTGTCCACAAGGCAGAAAATTTCTGCTAGTTTTTAAGGGTAATGTTTGGAGATTGAAAAATGCTTTGCAAAATTGTATTTTCAGGTTTGGGACAACTTGGATCAATCAAACTAAGGTTGTAGCTTGATCTAGGCTATTCATGGAAGTCTCAATAGATCGTGAAATAATCTCAATCTATTGTAATTTTTCTAGACAAGACTAGACAATCTAAGTGACAACTCAACCGGTCATAGTTCCTCTGGAGAGTTTTAACTCGATAGGAAAATACATAATTCAAATACAACTCTAATTTGCGAAACCCGTCATTAACTCTCAGAAAACTATAAATACATGTCTACCCTGTCATTCTTAGGCATGAAAACATTGAAAGAACGAGGTGAGAATACTTGGGGAGAGTTTTCAAGAAAAAGATTAAAGTTGTTTTGATTCTTATAGTGTAGTGATTAAGATTAGAACACTAATACGTTGTTTTTACATTGAATCAAGGAAGGACATGTACTTATTAAAAAAAAAATCTCAAGGTAAGAGCGGATTATTATATGCTGAGAAAATCCACCACAATGTCTTTCCATCACATCTTCATTTGAAAATTCTTGTTTGCGAAGAGTTCTTCAGAGAACAAGCATGGTGTGCTTACAATGCTTGTGAAGAAAGATGGTTCAGTGGGACAATTAGTTAACAGAGACAGGAAGTGAACTTGTATGAACTAGGGATTAGACTAAAATGGAGAGCGACTAGGTTTGTGGTGGTGAGTGGGAACCATAAGTAATAATGTAGAATGGACTGTAAGTAATTGGGGTTATGGTGAAGTGTTACATGCAAAAGATTATGTCATAGATAAATTAACAAATGTTTTCGGGCAAAGTATATGTAATTAATAGGTAAGTTAGTACTTCTTTCAGTGTGGATTGGCTAGCATCTAGACTTAAGTCCTTTAATTTTTTCCTGTTGTGGTTTTCAGCATATAAATTGTTTGTTCTTTATTACTTTTATGGTGTGCATAATTTTATATTTGTTTGATGATTTCCCATGACATAATTGATTAATTGACCTATTGAGATTAATTGAATTGAAATTAGACAACAATTGATTTTTTATTTTCCTGTGGCAAAGAACTCCCTCAATAATCTTGGGGAGACTTGGACCGTCTACCTTTCCTTTTGAAAGGAGAGGAGATACCAATAACCCACAAGCGTTGGTCACAAAAATTGATTAAATAAATAGTTAATCAGAATTTATTTGATTAAAATTGTTCAATAATCAAAATTAGGGTAAAATCATTCATGGTTTGATGTGGACCTATTCGCCCTCTCTACATCCCCTGTAAATCCATAACACATAAATAGGATGCAAGATTTTGCCGTTGTTTACAACAAAGAGGGATTTTTTTTTCCTTTTGGCACCTTGTCTTGTTGAACCCTTTGGCAGAATCAGAAATTTCTGTTACGGTCCCAATCACTACAAGGCGTTTCTCTCATCATCATCATCCTTGCCTTGATCCCATATGAATGAGATTAGTCATATGAATTCTCTTTTTCCATTCTTTCCGGCCCCACTATAAGGCCTTTCTTTCAAGGGAACCATTTTGATCCAAATGTGATCCAACTTCGGTTGTCTAGAGGGAAGAGTAGAAGTATTCAACTTTGAGGGTGTATCAGTCATTCTAGTTGTAAAAATACTAGATGAAGACAATTACCAAAAAAAAGAAAAAATGTACTAGATGAATACAAAGAAGAATGAGAAAATAGGTAAAGTATTCTAAATAAAAGCTTTCACTACCATTTCAATGAATTAAACCGTGTAAATTTTTTTCCTCAATATGAATATGAAAACCGATGAGAATCAGAGAGCCAAGGCCTGGCCAGAATCTTGACCTTTAGAACCATTATCCCTTAAAATTTACAATACTGCCATCTGCCTTTGTTTTCATTCAGTGGTATGGAAAATAAAAGATGTAGGTATCCTTCACTGTAATTTCATTCTTAGAATATTGTTCAACTTGCTGTGTATTTTAGTTATTTGGTGACCCAGATCTTCATAAATTGGTGTGTTATTGGAAGGGTAGTGATTGACTTGGTTGACAAACACATTGGATTTGCTTGACAGGTTTATTTGATTTTCATTGCAGAGTATCTTGCTTGATGTTTCTGCATATAGTTTGAAAAGATACAAGATATTAAACAATTTACTTTTCATCCTTGATTTCATTGAATACTTTGTGGGAGTAAAATGCAATTGGTTTTAAGAGCATTTCTGCAACATCAAATGACTCTTTGCACACACATACACACAAGTACGTGTATTGGTGTTTCTAGAAGAGTGGTTGCTAAAAGAAGAAAGCCTTGAAGAGGGTGCCTTTGTCTTGAAATCATCCTCAGAACAGTTAACTCAATATATTCCTTAGGATCAAAGATGGAAAACATGAGAAGAAACGGAAATTCTATATTATCTGTATACTCAATAAGACATGAAATATAAATTTTGATGGAATATTTTTGTCTAATTCAAGGGGGTGAGCTAACAGCTTTTTGCATGAAGGCTCTCCCTTCAAAGTACAGGAAATGAAAAAAGTTGTTCTTTTTGTGTTCTGACTTCTGATATATCTCATTTGACAAATCCTTTCAAGCTATGAGGCTGCATAAAAGTCTATCTACTAAGATCATTGAACAATTTTTTATTTGCTATTTATGCAGACTAAATCGTTTAGACTAAGCAGTGAAGTAGATGAGTGGCTTTACAACAATCCTATGCGCTGCCCTGGAGCTCTGCATTTTATAGAAAGAAATGCTACTGTAATAAGCTACGGTATTCAAACTAATTCTACTCCACTCGGAAAGCGAGGGCTCTTTGAGGATCCCACATTCAAATTCCAAATTCCCCTTCAAATTGCTGCAGAGCGTGAAATTGCTAGATCTTTGATTGGAGGTATTAAATACCGGTTTTTTATTTTTTATTTTTATTTTTTATTTTTTATTTTTTATTCTTTAATATTGCATTTCTTTGACCTACATTTCTCAACTTGACTAAATGCACCACTTTTCCGTCACTCCATTCATGCTCAGATCCAAACTTTAGCTGGGTTGTCGGTCTAAAGGAATTCGCACACCCTGCATTTGAGATTTTCTCTGCTGTGGCTTCCATAGGACCTACCTTTTTCCTTGCAATTGCCATGTTTGGTTTTGTCTTCCAAATTAGTTCTTTGATCACAGAGAAAGAACTCAAACTTCGCCAGGTATTGACTAGTTACTGTGTTTGATATTAAAAGAAGAATTAACATTCCCGGACCTCCACAGAACAATTCTTATACTCTTCATTCACATGCTTAACAGGCAATGACTTTAATGGGCCTGTATGATACTGCCTATTGGTTGTCATGGCTCACATGGGAGGGAATTATCACTCTTCTTTCGTCACTTTTCACTGTGCTCTTCGGAATGATGTTTCAATTTAATTTTTTCTTGAACAACAACTTTGCAGTTGTTTTCCTTGTGTTCTTCCTTTTCCAACTCAATATGGTACGTTTCCTGTTACCATCTATATTTTTCACCAAACTCATTTATGCCTACACATTCCATTTACCTATTTTTAATTAAGCAAAGTTCATTTTGTTATTTTGACAGCTGATCTATATTTCCTGTATTTTGATGCTAGGTTGGTTTTGCCTTCATGCTTTCAGCCTTCATTAGCAAGTCCTCTTCGTCCACAACTGTGGGTTTCTCTATATTTATTGTTGGTTTTCTAACTCAAGTAAGTTGCTTCCTTCAAAATTCTCGAACAGAAATTACTGACTTATTGCTTCCTTACCATTTTGTCGTTAGAACCAAAAAAGATTTCTTTTTGTGTTTGCAGCTTGTTACGGGTTTTGGATTTCCCTACAGTAGTAACTTTTCTAATACCTATCGGATCATATGGTCAATTTTCCCACCTAATCTTCTTGCACAAGCTCTTACGTTGCTTTCTGATGCAACTTCCACTCCTGAAGATAATGGAATCAGCTGGAGTAGAAGAGCAAAGTGTGCACCAAATGATACAGAGTGTGTGATTACAATTGTATGTTCACCCTTTGCAGCTTGAAAACAATTATTTTACAATTTTGGTCTTCTTCTCTCTCTCTCCCTCTATTTTTTTTTTTTTTTTCTTTTTTTTTTTCAATTTTATCTCTAATAGATTTCAATGGTTAACCACCTTTTGCATAAATTTTCATAATTTTGGCAGAACGAAATATATATATGGCTCGTATCAACTTTTTTCCTGTGGTTCTTTTTGGCTATCTACTTCGACAATATCATGCCGAACTCATCAGGTGTGAGAAAATCATTGTTCTACTTCTTGAACCCTGGGTACTGGACAGGAAAAGATGGAAACAAGGTGGAAGGTAATTGAATTTAAAGTTGCACTTTGTTTTACCTAGACCTCTTGATTAGCTAGTATTGGTGGCTAACCTCTATTTTCTGTCTTGTTTCAGAGGGAGGCATTTGTAGTTGCACTGGGTCAGTTCCACCTTTGGAAGATTTAACTCCAGAAGACGAGGATGTTCTTGAAGAGGAAAACTTTGTGAAACAGCAAGCTAGTGATGGTGTAGTTGATCCAAACACTGCCATTCAAATACGTGGCCTTGTAAAAACATATCCTGGAACAACGAAGATCAGTTGCTGCAAGTGCAACAAGACTTCACCTTACCAAGCTCTCAAGGTAACAGTATCCTTTTGCCTTAAAGTACCCAGTGTCATTTTAGATTAGCTTAAGGGGGCAAGAGGAATCTTTTGTTCAAATTAGTGCAATGCTGTAGCCTTGCATCCTAGATAGTGGTTCTAGGTCCAACTGTTTGCATTATAGATTACCTTTTACCTAATTATCCAATTTCATTCTACCCAAGGACCTAGTTGTGTTTGGGATTTCATCCAAAAAAGACAACAGAACAAGTAATACTTGTTTTTAGTCAGGTCTAAGGGGCCAGATGATGCACTGTTCATAAAAACCATATCATAGACATAAATAGAGATGTAGGCCCCTCCATGGCTCCGTGTTGGTCCCCATAAAGGATCCCCGATCCATCCCTAAGTGTGATACGAACCTCCTTTTTTGCTTGATGGCATACAAAAGGTTTAAGGGGGGAAGGTTTTTTCCATTTAGATTTATGTATTTTTCTCAGATATTCTGATTATCATTTTTACTTATATTTTTTTCTCCCTTAACAATCACATTAGTGGACCTCATTCTAAAACACAAGAAAAATATGACATCTGTAACCATATGAGCTGGACATTACTTTCAGGGCTTGTGGGTGAACTTTGCAAAGGATCAGCTTTTTTGTCTTCTTGGACCAAATGGAGCTGGAAAAACTACTGCTATTAATTGTTTGACTGGAATTACACCGGTGACTGCTGGTGATGGTAATAGCTTTTGTTCCATGTTTTCCTATTCATCAGATTATAATTTTGTCTGGATACAGGTAGGTGGAATCTAATGATGCCATGAATTGTCTCTTTTACAGCATTAGTATATGGACATTCCATTCGAAGCTCTGTTGGGGTGTCGAGCATTCGTAAAATAATAGGAGTTTGTCCCCAGGTAACTTCTTTAGTTTTCCAAGAACATATAGATATTTAACTCTGTTTAGCAATTTAACTTTCACAAAAGAAGACGCTAAATTGTTTTACATTTCATAGTTTGATATCCTTTGGGATGCATTGTCTGGTCAAGAGCACCTCCACCTCTTTGCCAGTATTAAAGGACTGCCCCCCGCTTCAATTATATCGGTGAGTGCTATGCAAATCTAAAACTGGTTTTCAAGCTTCTTGTTTTTTTAGGTCTTCTTTCGCAATTATAATTCTTGATTTTAAAGAAATAAAGATATTACTATCATGCTGTATGAGCTCGCTAAATTGGAGTTGACAAATCAGGTTAATATTTTCTAAGATGTATGAATTTACACAAATACAGGTTGTACAGAAATCATTAGCAGAAGTGAGACTCGTCGAAGCAGCCAAAATGAGAGCTGGTAGCTATAGTGGAGGAATGAAACGCCGCCTCAGTGTTGCAATAGCCCTCATTGGTGATCCAAAGTTGGTCATTTTGGATGAACCGGTATGCATATTTGAAAACCTTGATTCTTCATATATAATCAATTACTTTATCTGGTGACAGAAAGTTTGCTATATTTTGCAGACTACGGGGATGGATCCAATATCTCGGAGGCACGTTTGGGACATAATTGAGGAGTCAAAGAAAGGGCGTGCCATTGTCTTAACTACTCACTCAATGGAAGAAGCTGACATTTTAAGTGACCGTATAGGAATCATGGCAAAGGGAAGACTTCGCTGCATTGGAACCTCAATTAGGTTGAAGTCACGGTTTGGAACTGGTTTTATTGCCAACCTAAGCTTCTCCGGGAGCACTAATGAAACTCCTGCAAGAGGGGATACCATTACAACAACTCAGCATGAAGCTGTGAAACAGTTCTTTAAGACTGTATGTTGCTTGACTTAATTTGTTTAATTATGTTCTTTTAAGCTTCAAATGCTTGCATTTGACTTTTTTTTTTTTTGACAGCATTTGGATGTGGTACCAAAAGAGGAGAACAAGTCTTTCCTGACCTTTGTTATTCCTCATGATAAGGAGGGGCTGTTGACGGTAAAACACTTCAACCTCCGTAAACTTTTAAAATTGTTTTTGGTTTGTCTTGACCAATGCTTTAAATACTACAAATCGTGGAATGAAACTATTTAGTCTTACAAATCATACGATCATTATATTATAACCATGCGCCTAACTTTCATTCTATAAGGTGGCACTTTGGGAAAATCGATTCAAATAAACTATGTGATATGGAAAGAAGTCAGTCAATAACTTTTTTTCTCCAAACTCACACTGTTGTTTGCTGCTTTCGATACTTTATCATTAGAGTTCCTCTGCAAAATGGAGGTTCTTTATTTATTTATTTTTTCTATTTTATTTAGTTTATTCTGTTTTTTTATTTTCTTCTAAGAGAGGAAAGGTGGAGGATGGGGGTGGAGGTGTCAAGAGATGCTGATTTCTGCCTGTATTCCATGTTACATAATCGTTGTTTTAAACCACCCCCCCCCCCCCCCCCCCACTCCTCTTTCTAGTGTTTAACACTGACTTCTGATATATATGTATGTATAGATATGCATATGTATTTATTTTGATTGGTTGATTCTGACTCCTAATTAAAACCGTCTTAGTTCTAAAAACAATTATTTTTATTCATCTTACTTAATTTCTACATATCATAGATTTCTACTTGGAACAAAAATGCATTCAGTTGTGGAATATGTTTTGACATCAAATGTAAATATCATACGCATAAAGATTCCACTCTTGTTTTATATTTATTTTTCCTTACTTTTCTTCTTTTGTTTGTCAATTCTCCGTGCCAGAACTTCTTTGCAGAGCTCCAAGATAGAGAAAAAGAATTCAGTATAGCAGATATCCAACTCGGTCTTACAACTCTTGAAGAAGTTTTCTTGAATATTGCAAGGCAAGCAGAGCTAGAAAGTGCTGCAGCTGAGGGGAGCTTGGAAACTCTGACTTTAACATCAGGAACTTCAGTTCAAGTAAGTGTCATTGATTTGCATAACTTCTGTTGCATAGTAAGCTACATTACCAAATGAACGTTCTCTTTTCTTCAACGATGATGCAGATACCCGTGGGCGTAAGGTTTGTCGGTATCCCGGGAACAGAATCCGCAGAAAATCCGAGAGGGATTATGGTAGAAGTATACTGGGAGCAAGATGATTCTGGTGCGCTCTGCATTTCTGGTCACTCACCTGAAACTCCAATACCGCTTCATGTTCAACCAACAGCTTCTTCAACAGCCACTTCCCAGAGAAATCTCCTAGGTCGATCGGGACCAGTTCTTGGAATTGTGATTGATCCTGATCAAATTGGTACTGCAAATTCTTAATGGTATATGATTGTTTGGAAAAGCATTAGGAGTTGTTTGTTTTGTCTATCCAGCAAATTAAGATAAAAATCTCTGTCCTCATAGCTGTTTGATTCTTTAAAAACATTAAAATTATGAAAATTTTGCTTTAGCAATTCCGTTTTGTAAAGTTTTTCTATCATTATATTCGTGTAATATTTTTCACCTGTAGAATACTGTGCAGCTATATACTTGTAATATTTTTCACCTGTAGAATACTGTGCAGTCAACTTTTTTACTTTTTCTTTTTCTTTTTCTTTTTCAGACAGATGATAGCAAACAGCAGCACACTTGCACTTGCACTTGCAGCAGCTACTAAAGAGATAAAAATGAACTAGGAATTGTCAGGTTTTCTGATTCCCCAAGATGCTTTTGGTCATAAAAGGTAAAAGCACTTTAGGCCCAGTTTGGTTGAAAAGAAATGGGAGTAAAATAAAAGAATGAAAGGAAATGGAGGGATATACCTCTATTTTTTTTTTTTTTTTGATATAAATTTTTGGAAGGAAAATAAAGGGAATAAATGGAGAGGCTAGCCCATTATTAATGAGACACTTGGATCAAAGAACACCTCAAATATCTTACCATATAAATAATGTCTCTACATCGGCAAGAAATACCACTCCCAACTCTGAGTCATGGGTTGAATAATTTTGCTCATGCATCTCCCAACTCTGAGTCATGGATGGAATAATTTTGCTCATGCATCTTGAATTGACGTGAACCATAGGTCACCCTTCCTATTTGCATCAAAGCACAACCCAAAATAAATGGTGAAACCCAAGCCACGGGTATCACTAAAATTGGGGCGTTGGTCAATCTCCTCTTCAATTCTTGAAAAGCATGGAGTGGAATAATTTTGCTCATGCATCTTGAATTGACGTGAACCATAGGTCACCCTTCCGATTTGCATCAAAGCACAACCCAAAATAAATGGTGAAACCCAAGCCACGCTCGGGTATCACTAAAATTGGGGCGTTGGTCAATCTCCTCTTCAATTCTTGAAAAGCATGGAGTGGGTTTAGAATGGTGTACCCTTCACTACCCCCGCCCCTGCAACAATTTAAAAATCTCGTTCCCGCCCAAAACCGCAAAAATGGGGGGACTTTTTACCTATTCCTGCCCTGTTTAACATCTTTACCCCCGCAGGTAACCCGTTTAACACCAAAAATTCTCCTTCATTTAATTTTTTTTATCAACTAAAATTATATAATTATTGAAAAGATTCATAACAAAAAATGAATAATAAATAGTTTAACATAAAATTCAACATTAAAAACATTCTAAATGGTCGTGCAAGCAACTTGTTCTAGATTTTCAAATTTTGTTACAAAATAAACTGTCTCAATATATATACTAATGAAATAGGGGTACTAATGTCTCAATATATATACTAATGAAATAGGGTACTAATGCGAAATATATATACTAATGAAATAAGGGTACTTGAGTAATTTATCTATCTAAACGGGGTGAGGAGATTCGCCCCCGTATTGAATCTGTGCGAATTTTTATTATATCAAATTATTCCCACCCAAATAAGCTAAACAGTTCTCCAAAATTGTCAAAACGGGAAGGGGCAGGACAAGTACCCGCAGGAAGAGGACAAATTGCCATCCCTACTCACAAGGCTCGAATTATACAAATAAACAAAGAGCCAAATTAGGATTGGTATGGCCTAATTAACTCCCTGTATGGTATGATTAGCCTTAATCCCTAAAAATCAGGGATTTTGTACCTACAATTTTGTACCTACAATTAGTAATAATCTGTTTTGTCAATTTTTTTAAAACAAGCTAATTCATGTTTTTTTCGGTGCCACACACAAAGTAAAACAATATTTTCCTTTATTTTCTTTTCACCTTGTTTTTTAAAACATGACCAAGGATTACATATACCCTCTTTTCTATCTTTAATTATTCAAACACGATGACAGTTACCTTCTTTTTTCTTTCAAGTTGAAAATTCTATCTTTCTCCTCTTCATGCTCTTTGAAGCCATCGATATCAACAAAACTTTGGACAAAAATATTTTATTATCATTACGACATCATCACATCAACATCATACATGTAGTTGTATAATCTTCCAAAGCATACTATTTTGTGGATATATATATATATATATATATATATATATATATATACATATATCTCTCGTGCAATGAAGTACCATACAAGTAAATATATAAGAATCCAAATCTATCAAATCACTCATGTTATGATCTTCTACATCACACGTCTATAAAATTCTAAATCACATGTCTATAAAATAACTAGCAATAAAGACTTTCATACATGCTAAAGAAAAAATTGTCATGATTCAACACATTATTCACTTATGTGTGTTCTCACATAATGCCAAAGATTTGTTGCATGTGTGTTTTATTATATAAAATTCACTTGGACATTATTAGGATGTTACAATGCCTTTTACAATATAATTGAAACTAATAAACTTGTGGCCTAGTGATACTAAATCCCTATTTCTCAAAAAGATATTAGGAGTTCGAGTCTCGGTGGAAACATATGTACATGAGTACCAACTAGAAGAAAAAAAAAAAAAAAAAAAAAAAAAACCAACCAATCAATTTTGATTTTCATAAAATTGGAGCGAGTTTTCATGAAAAAGTATCTGTTACAAAAATTAACAGAAAATGAAACCAAAAAAAACATAAACAAAACAAAAATTTATGTGATTCATCTAAAATTAGGCTATATCAATAGAGTCACCAAGATTTCACTATGGTAAAGAGCGAAAAAAGAGAGACACTTTCGTGCTCGTTCCCCAACTATATTAATGTTTGGGAGGACACATAGGAAAGAAAGATTGGAAGCATCATTTTCATACACTGAGCTACAGGTTTCATCTCGAAGTGGCCTTGCACCCCAATACACTCCTATAAGTTAGGGTCATGGTTCGCAGTCGTGGTCGCGATGTAACGGACTCGGGCGAGTATCGGTTTTAAGTAATGATATCGGTTATCGCAGCCAGGAATTTTTTTTAAACACGCACATATTGACTAAAATGTACCGATATGCGACTTTTTATAACATAATTTGATAAAAGATGAATTTTTAATGAATTTTAGTGATTTTTAATAAAATTTTCAATGATCATTTAGCATAAGTAACGAACCTTTAATGAATTCTAAGTTTTTGTCGTCATAAAAATGTTTAGTATTATACTTTTTGCAAAACTAATGAATAAAAATGAACTTAATTATGAAATAAATGAATACGTATATCATACCACACATAAAATTTAGTTCTACAATTAATGTCAAAAATACTGAGAATAATACATAATTCACCACCAAAATGAATGACGTGGTGGATCTTGCGGTTGAGGTAAAGGATTGAATATTTGATCCATCATCATTAGATCATCGTCCTTCCATGGTGGATCATAGTCATATGAATGGCCTGAGTGATAGAGATAACTCTGAGCCTGTGTATATCCCGATGAACTATTAGATTGATCAATACTAATGCTATGCCTTTGCCCATTATATCCATAAGGCATATGAATCTAAGGAGGCACAAGGGGCATTCGTATCCATACCCATAGCCATATCCATAAGGCATTGGAGTATATATTCATACCCGAGGTTGTAGAGTTGGTTACGGATAGTAACTTTGACCAGGACTATTACAAGAGCCTGATGATTATCCTAGTAAAAATTCCCCAAAGCTACGCATTGGGTACTCTTTGATACACAAGAAGAATTATTATCATTCATTGGAACCCCAATCACTTCATCAATCATCCGAAAAAGATTATCAGTGTCAGAGTCGAGACAAGCATCCTTCCTCTCTTGTAACCATGGATCAAGGGGATCATCCTCCTCGAAAATATAGTCTAGATTGATGGGACTATAGTTATTTTCAATCTCCTCTACACTGCTACGTGTTATGTGTCTAACCTTCAGCCTCAAATTATATTGCAAGTACACCAATTTTTGAATTCTTTCATATTTCAGTCTATTTCTTGTCTTGGTGTGGATGAGGCTGAATGTGTTACGTTCACAATTAGATGATGATGTTGTCTGACTCAAAACTCTCACAGCTATTTTTCGTAACTCTGGAGCACTAGTCCCGTATAACAACCACCATTCAGCTGCAAAGTACAAAGTGCAAACACAATAATTATATTGATTAAGAATTTAAGAGTTTACTCTTTTGGTCCCCTCCTTTGTGTCCCAAACTTCACCCTTATACTGATATTGGGGATTTAAAAAATAACCTAATAAAAGTAAAATTATTATCATGGTAACAAATAGGGAAAAAAAAATTAAAAAATTTATAATTTTAATTAAATACCAGCTACATGTAAGTCATGGTGAAGGGTGCTTGTCCACCGCTTTTCAATTATTCTTAAATATTCCTTCCTATATCGACAATCCTCTTTTATTTTGCTTCTTTGCACGTTCCACAACTTCATATATAAAACCCATAGTGGGATTCTCTATCTCCATCAACTAATATAAGGACTTTCAGCAATGGTTCCTGTACTCTTTTTTTTTTTTTTTTTGATACTCACACATATATCTCTCTGTTGAAGCTCAAATTCTTGACTTCTCTCTAAGAAGTAGAGATTTGATACCGTTAAGCTATTGGTCTGTTGGTACTTTTTTTATTTCAATGATTTTTTTCCAAAATGAAGTACCACTGATAATATGTTTCACTTCATATGAATCACCAGTTTTCATTTTCCCCCACCTAAAATTATTCATATTATTAGTAACTAGTAAAGTAACAACAAAGAGAAATAAATACTATACAAATTTTCTTTTTCTTTTTTAAAATAATAAAAAGCTAAATGGATGAGATTACTTACTTGGAATTTTTAAATGCATCGGATTGAAACATTGTCCGCAAGGCATCTTTATGCCTGACAAAACTCTGTAGAGCAAGGAAATTAGTGGCAAAACGAGTGACGTTTGGGCGAAGCAACTCCCTATTACTGGTGAAAACCCTTATATAGTTATGAACCCATGAGTGATTGTAAATAAAATGTCATTTGCGTCTCCCTATAGACACCACTAACTCTTATATTTTTTTAACATCTCTTCTAAAATGAGATCGATGGCATGCGCTGCACAACTTGTCCAATACAAATGATGTCTATTTTCCAGTAGCTTTTAAAGCAGACTCGTTATCCGTTAAGATTCATCTGAGTCACAATATCATCTGAATGTGCGATGCATCAACTGATTTGTGAAAATATGTGAATTTATTACAATAAACAAGAAA